ACTTTGGGAGACTGACGTGGGAGGATCACTTGCCCAGGAGTTTGAGACCAGCCTGGGCAACATAGTGAGACCCTGTCTCTAAAAAAATATATAAAAAAATAAAAAAAATTAGCCAGGTGTGGTAGCACACATCTGTAGACTCAGCTACTTGGGAGGCTGCGGTAGGAGGATCCTTGAGCCCATGAGGTCAAGGTTATAGTGAGCTATGATCTTACCACTGCATTCCAGCCTGGGTGACAGACCAACACTGTGTCTCTTAAAAAAAATAATAATAATAATTAGGCTGGGTGCACCGGCTCACATCTGTAATCCCAGCACTTTGGGAGGCCGAGGCGGTTGCATCACGAGGTCAAGAGATAGAGAGTATTGCTTGAACTTGGAGACAGGTGGAGGTTGCAGTGAGCCAAGATCACACCACTGCACTCCAGGCTGGGTGACGGAGATTAAAGACAAAAATATAATTGTTGGGTCTTGATGTTTTTTTTTTTATTTCAAGATGGAGCCTCACCCCGTTGCAGTGGCCAGAGTGCAGTGGTGTGATCTTGGCTCACTGCAACCTTCACCTCCCGGGTTGAAGTGATTCTCCTGCCTCAGTCTCCTGAGTAGATGGGATTACAGGTGCCCACCTCCACGCCTGGCTAATTTTTGTGTTTTTAGCAGAGATGTGGTTTCACCATGTTGGCCAGGCTGGTCTCTAACTTCTGACTTCAAGTGATCTGCCTGCCTTGGCCTCCCAAAGTGCTGGGATTACAGGTGTGAGCCACTGTGTCTGGCCAGAATTGTTGGGTATTGATCTTGTACGTTGCAACCTTACTCAATTTATTAGTTCTAGGAGCTTTTTAGTGAAGTCCTTAGGATTTTCTCTATGTAAGATCCTGGTGGTTTTTTTTTTTTCAGATAGGGTCTCACTACCTAATGGCATGGCTAGATTACACAGTAGACATACTGTTAACTTTTCAAAGAAACCAGCAAACTGTTTTCCAAAGTGGTTGTGACATTTTACATTTCCATCAGACGTGTATTTGACCCTAAATTTTAAAAATTGATCTGATCTCTTCCCCTTGATAGGAAAATCTGAATGTTTCCAGTACTTAGGAGTGTGCCATGTCCTAAAGCCTCATGTATACAAAACAGCATTTAATAAAACCTGAGAGGTACTCTGGGAATATAAAGGGAGCATACCGCCGTTTCTTTTTTGAGTGGAAGCAGTGGTCAGGAAAGGGCATACAAAGGGTATAAACTCTTGTTAAGCCTAGCTGCTCACCTAAATCTTGGAAGACTTATGTTTACAAAGAATGAATCTACCACAAAGAGAAAAAATTTTATTAATGACAATCTTGAGCAGTATAAAACTCAGAAGCTCCACTGAGGTGAAGGAAACATGGACATGATACTAAGCAAAGCCTCGTCTTTTCCATAAAATGAATAAGTACATTTGGTGGAGTTTGAGACCAGCCTCAACACAGGGCATGTGGGTGAACATAGTGAAACCCTGTCTCTAAAAGCATTAAAGCATTAATCCTCACATTTCGATAGGACTATGTAGCTTTCAAGTAAGCAATGTTAGAATGAGTTGTAGAGTTTTATTTATGCAAATATAGTGAGTGACAGATGGCAATTACATGAGGCTATTTGAACAAAGATGCACAAGCCTAAACAATTTCACCTAGGTAAAATATTGATGTCATAACCAAATCATGGCCCCGTTTCATAAAGGTTACTATATCCTACAGAGACTGAAGAGGTGGCCTTTCTATCCCAGCTTACCCTATTCTTGTTATTGTTTAAATTCTCCTGAAGCTTGTATAACTAGCTGCCATTAGATAAATGCTATTGGCTAGCAGAAGACTGCGGTTCTGTTAATATTAGAACCAGCAGGGGGAACTTGACATTAAAAATCTAGGAACAGAATTTTAGGATGTATCTCATTAGAAACCTGAATTGTATAGGGACTTAAGTAAAAACCATCCCAAAGAATGTGAGCTTTAAGGTGATAATGTCTTTTCAGAGATCATAGCACATGAAGAACCCACGGACACTACATACATGGACACTACATAGAATATGAACAGTTAGCAGAAAAAGATCTCGTGACTAAAGTGGGGAAGACATCAAAAAAAAAAAATTTACAAAAGGAAAAAAGTTCAGAATACAGGAATATTTACAAGATGTTAAAAAATTATTAATCTTCAGCCAAAATGAGGCCCCTTCGCATTCCCAAAACCTTTGCTTTCTTCTCCTTTCGTTCTTGCTCGCGTTTCTTCCGTTGCTCTTCCCTGAGGGGAACAGGTCACAGGTTAAGCTCTAGGGAGGCTCCACAACAGACACTTTAGAGCAACTATTGTTGGACTAACACCCAAACTTTCAAGCAATGACATCCAGTATACTTGTGTAAAACAGACTCTTAGAGGGCACTGTGCTCCGCCTAGTGTTTCTAACACCTGTTTGTCATTGTTGTGTTAAAGGGCTAGAAACTGGTATTTGCCTTTTGCTAACTCAGCACTCTGAAATCATGCATGGAGGCTGGGCACATTGGCTCATGCCTGTAATCCCAGCACGTTAGGAGGCCAAGGCAGGCGGATCACTTGAGGTCAGGAGTTCGAGACCAGCCTGGCCAAAATGGTGAAACCCCGTCTCTACTAAAAATACAAAAGAGTTAGCCAAGTGTGGTTGTGCATGTCTATAATCCCAGCTACTGGGAGGCTGAGGCAGGAGAATCGCTTCAACCCAGGAGGTGGAGGTTACAGTGAGCTGAGATCATGCCACTGCACTCCAGCATGGGCGACAGAGCAAGACTCTGTCTCAAAACAAACAAACAAACAAAAATAAATAAAATAAAAAAATCATACATGGAATTGGAATCAGAAGATACCTTGGTGATTGAATCCAACTCTTATTATTTTACAATTTGCTTTAGGCCAGATGCAGTGGCTTACACCTATAATCCCAGCATTTTGGGAGGCCAAAGTGGGAGGATTCCCTGTGCCCAGGAGTTCAAGGCAAAAGTAAGCTATGATCATGCCATTGCACTCCAGTCTGGGTGACAAAAAGTAAGAACCTATCTCTAAGAAAAAAAAAATTGTTTTAAATGAGAAATGTCTACACCTAGAAATCAAAGGCGTGGTGGCTCACACCTGTAATCCCAGCACTTTGGGAGGCCAAGGTGGGTGGATCACCTGAGGTCAGGAGTTTGAGACCAGCCTAGCCAAGATGGTGAAACCCCGTCTCTACTAAAAATACAAAAATTAGCTGCACGCAGGGGTGGGCACCTGTAATCCCTGCTACTTGGGAGGCTGAGGCAGGAGAATCACTTGAACCCGGGATGGAGAGGGTGCAGTGAGTCAAGATCGCACCACCACACTCTAGCCTAGGCAACAGAGCGAGACTCCGTCTCAAAACAAACAAACAAACAAACAAAACCAAGATAAGTTAATATAATCTTGGGCTTTTTTGTGTTTTTTTTTTCTTTCTTTCTCTTTTTTTTGGTTTGTCTAATCCTCTGAAAGAAAAGCATAATGGCTAACTCAGTAGACCCTGATTCTAGTTCTATTCCTTTCACTAAACTATGTGATTTTGAGCTTGACCTTTGACTTTTTTTTTTTTTGAGACGGAGTTTTGCTCTTGTTGCCTGGGCTGTAGTGCAATGGTGCAATCTCGGCTCACCACAACCTCTGTCTCCCGGGTTCAAGCGATTCTCCTGCTTCAGCCTCCAGAGTAGCTGGGATTACAGGCATGTGCCACCACGCCTGGCTAATTTTGTATTTTTAGTAGAGATGGGGTTTCTCCATGTCTTGAACTCCTGACATCGTAATCCACCCGCCTTGGCCTCCCAAAGTACTGGGATTACAGGCGTGAGCCACCTCACTCAGCCAACTTAATAATAGTGAGCAAAGGCCTTGGCGCAGTCATGTATAGCCATGAGTCAAATGATAGGTAACCCTGTGTCACGAGGTTCCAAGCAGGGAATCTGGGCCCAACCATGACTTGCTACAACCCAGGATGAGCTCTGGCTTTAACTTGGTTTTCATGCTGAAGGAAGCCTCTAAGGACCGTCCTGGGTTCTCCTCTTTATAGGGCCTTGATGCCTTGTAAGCCTGGCTTCCTTAGGAGTGAGGAATTGATGTCTATCTGGATACGTAGGTGCCCTGGACTGCTGGGCATTGGTATCAGGAGAGATACCCACATGCCCTGTGTTGAGGCAGATGAGTCATGCAAGAGCAGTGCTCTGAATCTGGGTCTTCTTCTGAATCACCTGCAGAGCTTTGGAAACAATGCAGGTGCTTGGGCCTCACCCCAAACCTGCTGATTTGGAGTCCATTACACTGGAACCTAGGCACATGTACTCAGAAAGTTCTATATATGATACTACTACTTTTCTTTTTTTTTTTTTTTTGAGATGGAGTCTCACTCTGTTGCCCAGGCTGGAGTGCAGTGGCACGATCTCGGCTCACTGCAAGCTCTGCCTCCCGGGTTCCTGCCTCAGCCTCCCGAATAGCTGGGACCACAGGCGCCCGCCACCACGCCTGGTTAATTTTTTTTTTTCATTTTTGTATTTTTAGTAGAGACAGGGTTTCACCGTGTTAGCCAGGATGGTCTTGATCTCCTGATCTCATGATCCGCCTGCCTCAGCCTCCCAAAGTGCTGGGATTACAGGTGTGAGCCACCACGCCTGGCCCATGATACCACTTCTAACCTCCCCTTAAAACACCACTATTACTGAGTCTCTATCCCTCAGAGGTGCTGCTTTTGAAATTAAAATAATTATAAAGCTGGATAATTATGTACTTACTTTGTCTGGAGATGGGGTTGTTTGTAAGTTTTCTTGTAGAAGTTAATTCTGTTGACATGTTGATTTAGGTAATTATTTTCTTTAGATTGCCCCCATGGTTTTAGCTTTCCTAGTTTAGGACAGAGACAAAGAGTTTTAAGAAGATTGTTTGATTTATATTCCCAACTTCATTCCCTTCATCTGTGGTTACCTGCTATTGACAATTATACTTTTTTCTTTGAGACAGAATCTCACTCTGTTGCTCAGGTTGGAATGCAGTGGTGTGATCTGATCTTAGCTCACAGCAACCTCCGCCTCCTGAGCTCAAGTGATCCTCCCAACTCAGACTCATGAGTAGCTGGGACTACAGGCACACGCCACCATGCCCAGGTAATTTTTGTATTTTTTAGTAGAGATGAGGTTTCGTCATGTTGCCCATGCTGGTCTCCAGCTCCTGTTCTCAAGCAATCTGCCTGCCTTGGCCTCCTAAAGTGCTGGGATTACAGGCGTGAGCCACTGTGTCCAACCAATTTGCAATTTTACAAAAAAGAACTGTGACCGAATTTCTGGAAGTTTACGTGTTGCTTTTGTTTTGTTTTGTGTTTTTTTTTTTGAGATGGAGTCTTGCTCTGTCGCCCGGGCTGGGGTGCAGTGGCCGGATCTCAGCTCACTGCAAGCTCCGCCTTCCGGGTTTACGCCATTCTCCTGCCTCAGTCTCCCGAGTAGCTGGGACTACAGGCGCTCGCCACCTTGCCTGGCTAGTTTTTTGTATTTTTTAGTAGAGATGGGGTTTCACCGTGTTAGCCAGGATGGTCTCAATCTCCTGACCTCGTGATCCGCCCGCCTTGGCCTCCAAAGGTGCTGGGATTACAGGTGTGAGCCACCACGCCCGGCCTGTTTTTGTTTTCTTGAGGCATGGTCTCACTGTGTCACCCAGGCTGGAGTGCAGTGGTGCAATCTCGGCTCACTGCAACCTCTGCCTCCTAGGTTCAAGCAATTCTCCTGCCTCAACCTCCCAAGTAGCTGGGATTATAGGTGCCACCACCATGCCAGGCTAATTTTCTTATTTTTTTTCAGTAGAGATGGGGTTTGACCATGTTGGCCAGGTTGATCTCAAACTCCTGAACTAAAGTGATCTGCCCACCTCAGCCTCCCGAAATGCTGGGATTACAGGCGAGAGCCACTGCACCCAGCTGCAGAATTTGTTCATTCTTAAGTTGTCATTTTTTATTTTTATTTTTAGATGGAGTTTCGCTCTTGTTACCCAGGCTGGAGTGCAATGGCGCAGTCTCGGCTCACTGCAACCTCCGCCTAACAGGTTCAAGCAATTCTCCTGTCTCAGCCTCCCAAGCAGCTGGGATTACAGGTGCCCGGCACCACGCCTGGCTAATTTTTGTATTTTTAGTAGGCATGAGCCACTGCATCCCACCAATCTTAAGTATTTTATAGGCCCTGTAGCTTAAAACACTCCCACGTACCTTTGTGTGGTTCATAGTTGAGGGGACGAGACAAACTGGCTTTAAGATCAAACACTGGTTTCTTATTGGAGACTGGAGTCTGCGTTGCCTCAGTTGTCAACTTGAATGGGGTAATAACTAAAAACACACCAAAGAAACCGAAGAGCTTAATTAGAAACAAAGACCTGTTAAAGCGTTTATCAAAGTGTTACTTCTCAATCTTAAAAATACATGTTATAGGCTGGGCATGGGGCTCACGCCTGTAATCCCAGCACTTTGGGAGGCTGAGGTGGGCAGATCACAAGGTCAGGAGATTGAGACCATCCTGACCAACATGGTGAAACCCTGTCTCTACTAAAATACAAAAAATTACCTGGGAGTGCGGTGGCTCACGCCTGTAATCTCAGCACTTTGGGAGGCCGAGTCAGGTGGATCACCTGAGGTCGGGAGTTC